AGCACAGCACCCAGAGCACAGCACAGCACCCAGAGCACAGCACCCAGAGCAGAGCACAGCACAGCACCCATCAGCTGCGGCCGCCGTGGGGTGCGTGGGTGCACAAGGACATTTCGCTCGCCCTCCCTCGGGGTGCAGCTTCCCATTGGAAACAGGCCCTTGGCCACTGCGCGATCTGCACAAGGTGCCCAGGAAGGACTGAGGCTCCGCAGTGGCCTCCGGCTCCCTGTCTCCCGCCGCTCGTCTCTGCTGCTCTTTCTCCACAGGGAGCGATACGGGAGGGAGCTCCGCTTGTTTCGTGGGACCGGGGCAGCTGCCCCAGAGCAGCCCGCTGGGCCCTGCCCGCCCCGGGGCCCCTTGGCAGGCAGCAGCAACTGGGAACGACGGAGTGAACAAAACCAGTTTTGGAGCGGCCCTGGCTGCGCGGGACGAGGAGAAGCGAGAGCCTGAAGCTGAGGTCTGTTCAGGCTGCGCTGCCCCTTCACCCCTCTCCTCTCAGGGAAGTGCTTAACTGGGCTGCTTTATTTTTCTAATTCTTTTTTTTTGTTGTTGTTCTTCCTTATTTTTCATAGATGTTCATTTGATTATTTTGACAACTGTTGCTCCTAGTAAGAAGTAACCTCTAACTACTGAGTTCTGTTAGCTCCTTTATGGTGCCTCCTCGTGCTCTCTTCCCAGGCACTGCTGAAGGGGGAGGCTGCACCAGACACAGGGCAGGATGTGGGAGGCACCGCTGACCGCTCCAAGCCCCCCTGGGCCGTGCTCCCTGTGCCAGGGGCTCCGGTGGGAGGGCGGCTCCGGGCCCCTCTCCTTCCCGCCTCCCTTCTCCCGCTCCTCGGGGTTTTCCCTCGCTCCCGCCTTCCCGCTGCAGCTCCCGGCGGCCACCGCTCCGGGGCCCTGCCGGGTTCTGGGGGAAGGCCGGGCTGCAGGACGGCTCCGGTTCTCACCAAGGGCTCCCTCCTTCCACACACATAACTGGGAGAGGAGGACTCGCTGCTGGGAGCCGGGACCCTCCAGGCCGTTACCATCCTCCCCCTGGGAAACTCCAGCAGGGCAATTCCAGCGGGAAGGCTCCAGCTACCCGTTACAGGGGTGTCCCCCATCTCCCCCCTTTCTCTTTTCCAGTCACTGAGGCCGGTCTCTGTAGAGGACGCGTGGGGGAGGCCGGAGCCGCTCGGCCCTGCACCGGGATGGGGCCAGGCCAGGCACAACAGCGTGTGGAAGGGCGAGGAGCAGCCTGGGAACGCGGCGCTCGGATCAACCCCTCGAGCCAGCCGGATCCGACGCCGGAGACGGAGCCGCTCCAGCTTTGTGGAGGGAGTTTATTAGAAAGGGCCCCGCGCAGCACACACGGGGCTACTCGAGAGCGGGTTCCAGCGGCAGCGGCGCCCGGTGCCGCATCCGCCCAGGACAGCGCGGAGCGGGAGATTCCCGGCCCGGGCGGCGCGCGGCCTTTCCTGCACCTGGGCACCAGCTTCAGACACGGACTGCCAATAAGCAGAAAGACTTAAATACTGCCAATAAGCAGAAATACAGACTTAAAACTGCCCCAACAGAAACAAGGTTAAAGCAGCTGCCCCCTCGGGCGGCCGGCGCTCACGGACCTTGCTGCTTTCCCTGGAAAACAGGAGGGAGACACTGCATTAAGGCAGTGCATTTTAAGAAGTCAGTCTCGCAACTGTAACAAACTGCTCGTGTTGTGATAAAGAATTCCCTGTGGAAAAACCAACCTGTTCTGCATGGAGCTCCGAGCCGAACGCGGGGGAGCCTCCCTGGAGCTGCAGGGCCAGGGAAGCGGCGGCCCCTCCTGCTCCCACGTTAAATCCTACCCCTCAATTCCCGCCTGTCCTTTTGGAAACCACTTTCCCGGCTCCCGAAAGGGGCTCCAGAGCAAGGCTCAACTGTAGGGAGTAAAAGCCATAAAAAGCCATTAAAAATGCAAAAATTTTGGAGATGAAAAAGGCAATGAAGATAAGTACACAGCGTGACCAACCACCATCGAGCCAGCAATCACCTGCTACATTTTTCACAAAGTGCTAACCAAGTTTAGCTTAAAATTGTTTAAGAGATCATACAAATTGCTAGCACAGTGCAACACTGAGTCTTTTGGAAAAAGGAAAACAACCTACAACCCAGCCTGACTGTACGAAACACCGTATCGGTTTCTAATTTACACAGTACCATTTAGGCACAGAAAAAGAGACAACTGCATCATTAAGGCTGTAGAGAGTTAAAGCCAAGTGATCAACTGCTGCGACACCACGTTCTCACACACACACGTCTGTGTCTGCACCCGTACCCGTAGCTGAACACGCATCCCTGCCTGGGATGCACGCACAGGGGCAGCTGGGCGGCCCCCGCGCATCCCGAGGCGCCTGCTGGACCCGGCAGCGGCCGCTCCATCGCGGTCCCGGCCGCCCGCTCCTTGCCGGCCGGCCCATGCGCAGCCTCCAGGCCCCATTCCCAGCTCTTCCCATGCTCCCTGCAGCTGCAGCCGGCAGGGCCAGCCCCACCAGCCCCCCGAGCAGCTCCGGCCGTGCCGGAGGCCCCGCTCCGCTCGGAAGCGGCGCTGGAGCAGCGTGGGGAAGGAGCTGGTGGGGCCGGCGAGCGGCCAAGCTCGCGCCCCTCACAGCACCACAGGGTGCCTGAGGCTGGCAGGGAGCCCTAGGGATCATCATCCATCCCTGCTCCAGCAGGGACACGCGGGGCCCAGGGCGGCATCCAGGCGGGATGGAAGAACCGCAGGAGCAGGAGTTGCCCCTGCCTCGGAATGAAGTGGAAAGGCACAAGCACCAGCCGAGCAGCATCTCCTTTATTTGGTGTTGCAGCAGCCGTGCAGCGCGCCCGCCCGGGCGCTGCCGCTCACTGTGGGATCTTCCTTCTTAAAAAAGAAAAAATAATAATAATAAACAGCTCTTCTGTTCAGACAACTCCATGTGCTTTTTTATATACACAGTGACCCCTGCGTTCAGCCTGTCCAGTTAACAGTAGAAATATCCATCAAGGCAATACATTATCTTTGCTATAATTAGGGAGAAATCAAAAGAAAAAACAATTTTCTTTAAATCTGACACGTACTGTACATACCTGTTCCCAAACCAGCGCTTCTAATTTAATGCACTCCATGACTGAGGTCACAACGCTGCACATCTAAGCATCCGCACAACCGTACATCCCTAACAACGCTCTCCTTCACACCCTCTACCCTTTTAGACATCTGTTTTTAAAAAGCTGAAAGAATAAAGAAGTTCTATCCCTTTAGAACAAAGCATTATATACTACATCACTGAAAAATAGTTTTATCAAAACCTGATTCTGGTCAGTCATGTACAATTCTCAGTCAACTGTTCATGCTGCAATTGCACTTTGTAGGTGGGACGAGGCTCAAGCCGGCGGCGGGATCTACTTCCTCTCGCCGCCGGCGCCGCCGGCCTCGTCCGGGTTCCTCCTCCGCGCGTGTTTGTACTTGTCCACGTAGGCCCTCACCAGATTGGCCACCTTGGCCGGGTTCACCTCCCCGCTCTTGCTGCGGCAGACCTGGCAGCGAGGAAGAAACAAGGCAAACCTTTAAAGCTCCCTCGGCGTTCACCGCTGTTCTGCGCTACGCATCTGCTTCCCAAGCCACACGTTTCTCCAGGGCCAGCGGAGTAAGGTAGGAGCCCCCTTTCTTCCTAACTCCATCCGATCACGTCAGTAAAGTGGCTAGTGCTGAGGAGCTAAAAGGGCCCCGAAAGATGTTTGTCCCCTTCCTCTCTCCCTTCCTCCCTCCCAGTAACACCAGTTGTCCCCAAAACACAGGCACCCCTCGCTCAACCCTACCTCAACTGCAATGTTCTCATATCAGATTTTACTCATAATTTAACTTACTTTGTCTACAGCCTTCCGCACAATTTCCTTATACTCCTCCTTGGTGATGTCCTTATTTTGGTAGAAAGGTTTAATGGCCAGCTTCACCTCCTGTGCCGCCCTCTCCTGAATGAGCAGTTTCTGCGGGAAGAGCAGAGATCCGTTACTTCCAGACACGCAGGTTCATCCTCCACGCGCCAGCAGCGGTGCCTTGGGACTAGTTCCAGCCAACCGCAAGCTCAAGCTTGGCAGACAAGGGGCTCCTCTGGGGGCCCAGGGAGGGCCCCGGCGAGCACCCAGCGAGCACCGTGGGCCCCAGCGAGCGCCCAGCGAGCGCCCAGCAAGCACCGTGGGCCCAGCGAGCACCCAGCGAGCACCCAGCGAGCACCGTGCCGCGCGCCTGCTTGTGCATCCGTGTCCGACCGGCGCGCGCCCGACTCGCCTGGTCCTTCCTGGAGCTGTCGGCGCTGGCCTCCACGGTGCCAGTGCCGGAGCCGCCCGTCCTGGCGGCGCCTCCGCCGCTCCGCCCGGAGCCCGGTGCCGGCCCCGGCAGCGAGGGCAGCGAGGGCACGCTCGCGCCGCCGGCCACGGCCACCTGAGGGGCACTCGCAGGTCCCTGGGGATGAAAGGCACCCGTTAACAGGACACCCTGCAGCAGGACAACGAGTCTCTCCGGCAGCTGTGGAGAGCAGCACCGTGCGCCCGGGCTCACGAGCTTCCCCCACCCTGCCCGTGGCTGCCCAGGGAGGCTGTGGAGTCTCCTTCCCTGGAGACCTTCCCAACCCGCCTGGATGCCGCCCTGTGCCCCGTGCTCTGGGTGTCCCTGCTGGAGCAGGGCGTTGGACTGGATGGTCCCTTCCAACCTCAACCATCCTGTGATCCTGTGGAAAGGCCTTTTACCCACTGGAGCGGGTGGCCCGCAGAGCAGCACTGAGCCCTTGTGTGTCCTGCACCCACCACACGGGTTGGCCTTTCCTTGGAAGGCCGTCCCTCCTACTGGAAGTTGCCAATACCCCTTTCCCTGATACAACAACTCCTACAATCCTCCCTGATACAACAGAGCAGGTGGCTACAGGAGGAAGCTGCTTTGAGCTGTCCGGGGGGGGCACAGATGCTCTGACCCCCCTGAGCATCTTTTGGACACTGCAGAAATGCAGGTTAGCCCCAAAGAGGAGATGTCGCAACAGGAGAACTGGGCACAAAAGGGGAAGTAAAACACACCAAGGAAACAGCCCAAAAGTTTTCAGGAAACAGCTTAAAAATTATCAGAGAATGAAAAGATTAAGCTGTAGTAAATGTGGGGAGGGGGCAGCAACTTTGCTGAGAGTGACTGCTGCAGAATGAAACTGCAGAACAGACTGGTGCTCTGCAGGACTTGAAATATTTATTTTTTCCTCTGTGATGTTGGAATTCTCTTCTTCTGGAATATATCTAGAGCCTGAGGTCCATTTACTACACACTGCTGAGTGAGGAATAAGGTCTTTCCTAGAGCTTAGATCGGGTTTTGAAGGGGAAAAGCCTACTGCGTCTTATTTCTGGAACTGAAGAAAACCCTTAGTGACAACACTGAAGAAATGTTTCAGCATCCTCTGGAACATCTCATTCCTACCAGCACCCACTGGCACCTTTATAAATTAACATTTAAAAGCCCCAAACTCAAACCAACCCACACGCTCACGAACAGCTCTGCTGCGCGTGGCAAGGCGCAGAGCGAGGACGCTCGAGGGACCCTCCTCAGCACCAGTTCAACCAGTACCCGCTGCTCCTCGCGGGCTGGCCAGGGGCCTGTGGGGACACCCACCTGCAGCTGCGTCCCCTCCTGCTGCGGGGCCACGAGGGCGGC